GGACCAAGTGCATTGCCAAGGTTTTCGATTGGTCGCAAAGCCAGTTTTGCACCGCTTCCTGCACGTCTACGTCTGTAGAAAATTAGCGACCTCGCAAAACATCCTTGAGCGGCCCAAACAGATGAAAGTCGGAGGGAGCAAGATCTAAGCTGCAGGAAGCGGTGCAAAAGTGGCTTTGCGACCAACCGAAAATCTTCTCGGAAGAAATACGCAAGCTTGTGGACGGCTAGACCAAGTGCATTGCCAAGGGAGGAGACTATGTTGAAAAATGGTGTACACATTGAACCCCTATTTTTGTGTAAATAAATTGTAGAACGAAAAGTGCAGATAATTTTTGACTCACCCTCGTAGTTTGGTTAATATTTGGGTAATAGTATATATTTCTAACGTTAAATACTAAATACTCTATTATGTTTCCCATTTTTTATTATACCGTGTGTCATACAGACCTAAAGGAACGCTTTACGAGGATAGTTTTCGAGAAGTATTTGAAGAATGTAAAAAGAGAGGGACCCACAAGCTGCAGAAGTGGAGTTCAATGATCCAATTACACAGGATATGAGAATTGAACCGACTGAAAAGAAAGTTGAGAAGAAAAAAGAAGATCCTTTAGATGAACTAGTAAAGATTGACTTTAATTTTGATAATGATCCTGATGATCCCAAACTGGGTACTTCACGTGCGTATGTCTGTGTGCGTGCGTGCGTGTCAAGAGGCGTAAATCCGACCGTATAACCTCCACGCGGTATACCTTAGGTAGTGCTAATGCCGGCGGTAATGTAACTTTCGAGCTCCATAACTTGAAAAGTACTTAATAAAAAATACTTAATTATAGTGTTTTGAAAAGCTTTTGGCGCTAACTATTAGATTCTGGAATAAAAAATAGGGTGTTCCATTTAAAAAAGTCGATATGACATTAACCTGACCTTGCCGACGCCACCCAAGGTCAAACTAATAACTTCAGTAAATAGATCTTTTTTAATCCTACAACTTTTATATGAAACGTTTTTCTCGGAAATGCTTTGTTTTCGAGAAATTTCACCGTCCCGGTACTTTTTGCTCACCTTGCCCCGCAAAAAACGATTTAATATGAACATAATTAAAAATAAATTAAATTATATTAAATCTGTATAAAACTCAAATTAAACCAAGATTTCAAATAAAAATCATATTTGTTTATGTATAGTTTTATTTTGTATTTAATAAAATCACTTATGTAGATTATATATGATCCAAAACCAAATATGGTTTAAATTTACATTTAATAAAATTATTTATGTAGATTATACATATATGATCGAGAACCAAATATGACGCACAATTTTCGTATATAAGACTTTAATTAAGAGTTAATGTGTTCTACAGGGTGATTCGTTAACTATTTCTTTTTATAATTCAAAAACTAAGCTTCGGAGAAATTTTGGTAAAGGAAAAATCGTCTCAGAATTTAATCAGGAATATGATATTTCAGGGACACTATACCTATTTTGAATCACCCTGTAACAACTTTTACACGATTCAATTGCTACTTTAAGGACGTTCTCTCAAAAATCACTTTTCTTAGAATTTCTTTGTACTTTGCACCTATGTGAATTTAAGGATGTATGTTACTTAAGTTAAAATAGAGGGAAAAAGCTGAAATTTACAAGAGTTGTGCATTTATATATCATGAAAACCTGTGATAAATTTTAGATCAATTGACTGATTCGTTTTCAAGTTATTAATTTTTTAAATTTTATGTGCGTTCTAGACAACACGCTGTCTAAAATAGAAATATAAGGTATTATAAGACGTCTTATGATGTGACGTGTACAAGATGTCTTAATGATATCTATAAAATGTTTTATATCCCGATTTTAAACAACATATTGTTTGGAGATTGACGGGTTATGAAACATTTGCATTTAGAATGTAATGAAAAAATAAAGAATAATTCTCGAAAAAATTATGGTGTATAGAAAATACATTGGCACAAGTTCATGAAAAATTTTATAATAACCCACATAGCACAGCGACATCACAGTGATATCAGTGTAATATCTGTTTAAGAATATCCCATATCCCAGAGATATCTTGAGATATCCAAATTACATCAGTGTGATATCACGGGAATATCCAAATGTCCGCCTTTTATTACATCTCAAGTTAATATCTAAGAGACATCTTTGTGATGTCCCAAAATAATGTTAATGTGACGTAACATGCAATGGGACGTAACAAAGACGTCCTTGCGATATCTTTTTATTCTAAAAAGAGATCGCAAGGACGTCTCTGTTACGTCCCATTGCATGTTACGTCACATTAATATTATTTTTTCTAAATTAACATTATTTTTATTCTAAAAAGATATCCCAAATAGCACAAGTCCGTCCTGAACGTCCTTGTGCTATTTGGGTAATAGGGGGTAGTAAAACATCAGCAGGTTACCTATTAAAAAATCTTAATTTTTTAAAACTAATTTTTAAAAAGTGTTAAATTATTAAATCATCAAAAGTATGTTTAGGTCATTAAAGTTTTATCCATGATTGAGACAACCTGCTGTTGAGTCATATCGGCTTGCCTCTTATACTAATACGGGATAATTTTTCCTTACGAGAAAGGCTAACGCGCTGTCGCCACGTCGCGGCAGTGAGTGGTACTAGTACTGTACTATACTATTCTGAAAATATATGTTCAGGATAAATGTCCGAGAGACATCTATATATGATATTACATATACAGATGTGACTTCCGCTTCCGGTGCGATCGTGGTGACAAGCAAGGGACGGACAGTAGCGATAAAGTTAGGCAGTGTGTGAGAGAGAGTGAAGGGACGAGTGTGAGAGTGAGAGGGCGAGAGGGTGGAGGAGTGAGAGAGTGAAGGGCCGAATAGGGAGAGTAAGGGGAGAAGCGAGAGAGAGGAGAAATAAGGCGAAAGACACGAGCAGGTAAGGCATAGAGTACGAGGTAGGATAGACGCGCGCGTGGTAAACAGACACGGGAGAGAGACGGGCAGAGAGGCAATAGCATAGATAGAGAGGGGACTAAGCGTGAGAGTAGAGGAACGGACGGATACGCAACGGAATGGAGGGAACACGCAGGAGGATGGAAGATAAGGAAAAGCATAGGATAAAAATATTAAGAAGGGAAAGGGGGAGAGGCGGGAGCATAGGTACGCTGGACGAGTTATGGAAGAGAAAAAGGGATGAATTAGAAAAGAGTGGGGGGGAGGAAGACATTTTCAAGAAAAGCAGATTAACGCAGAGATCGCCAGGAAAGGAGGGAGGAAAGGTAGAAGCAGAGCAAGAGGAAGAGAAGCAAGAGGAAAACAACAGTGTAGAGGAGTACTTCGAAAGGATAATGGAGAAGATGAAAGAGAGCTTAATCAAGGAGCAGGAGAAAATGATAGAAGGAATAATAAAAGATATAAGAAAAGAATTTAGAGGAATAAGGAATGAATGGAAGGAAGAAAAACAAGAACTAATGAAAGAAATGGAAAAGATAAAAGAGAGGATAGAAAAACTGGAGCAGGAAAGAGGCAAGGAGGAGGAGGTAGGGAGGAGAGAGAGAGGGAGAGAGAAAGAAGAGAGTATAAGAAATAAAATGTTAGAGATGGAAAAAAGAATGGAAAATAAAGAAAGAGAAAAGAAAAGGAGGAATGTGGTACTGAGAGGAGTGGAAGTAAGAGAGGGTAAAAGAAGGGAGGCAGTGGAGGAAGTTATGAAAATAATAGAAGCGAAGGCGGAGATAAAGGAGGTAAGGAGAATAGGGGAGAAGAGGGAAGAAGGAAGAGAGATGCTACTGGTGAAGCTAGAAAACGAGGAGCAAAAATGGGACATTATGGAGAAGAAGAGAAAATTGAGAGGAAGGCCGGAAAGAATCTCGGAGGATTTAACATGGAAGGAGAGGAAAATCAAATGGAAACTGGGAGAGATAGCAAGAGGAGGAGAGGAAAAAGGCAGAAAGGCATGGATAAAAGGAGGGAGAATAAGAATAGAAGGGAAATGGTAGAGGTGGGATGAGGAGGAGGAGGTACTGAGGGACGAGAATGGAAGGAGGAAAGACAGTGAACGGGGGGAAGAGGAGGAAAGGAAAGAGAGAAGATGAATAAAACAGGAGAAGAGAAAGGAAAGGAGGAGGAGGAAGAAGAGGGAGAAAAAGGAAAAGAGGAAAGAAAAGAGAGAGAGGGAGGAGGATGGAAGATCGGTTTCTGGAACGTGGCAGGACTAAAGAACAAGGATAAGGACTTCTGGAGAGGATTAAAGGAATGGGAAGTCATAGTGCTGGCAGAGACATGGCTGGAAGAAAAACAATGGGAAGGCATTAAAGGAGTATTACCAAAAGGTTATACATATATGGAGAACACAATGGGCGAAGAGAAGAAACAAGAAAGGAAGGGCGAGCGGAGGAATGGTAATGGGAATAAAGAAGGAAATGCTAGATAAAGAAATAGGGATAGAGACGGCCGAGGAGGAAGGTTTAATGAGTGGAGGGGTTAGAAGGGGAAAGGAGAAGTGGAAAATAATAGGAGTATACGTAAATAAAAACATAGAAGAGATGTTAAAAAAGTTGGAGAGGTTGCTAGACAGGAAGGAGGAGGGAGTTAGAATATTGATAGGGGGGGACTTTAACGCGAGAACAGGGATGGAAGGAGGGAGATTGAACGCAATGGAAGAGCAAAGGTCAGGAGAGAGTAAAAGTAGGAACTCGAAAGATAAGAAAAGGAACAAGGAAGGAAGGAGGCTGGTAGAGGTAATAGAGGAGAGAGGGTGGAGCATATACAACGGCAACATAGAGGGGGACGAGGAAGGAGAATTCACGTTTACAGGAGGGAAAGGAAACGGTAATAGATTATGTGATAGGAGATGAGGAGGCGAGGGAGAGGATTAGAAGCATGAGAATAGGGGAGAAAATAGACTCGGATCACCATCCACTGGAGGTATGGATAGAGGGGGAAGAACAAGGAAAGGAAAGAGGAAGGAAAAGACAAGAAACAAGAAAGGTAAAATGGGACAGGAAGGGACAGGAAGAGTTTAAAGAAAGAGTGAAACTGGACAGGGAGGAAGGAAAAGGGCTAGAGGAAGAATGGAAGGAAGTAAAAGGAAAATTAATAAAAGCACTAAAAGAGGTGGAAAGAATTCAAAAGGAAGAAGGGAAGAAAGAAGGAGGATGGTGGGATGAAGAATGCAAAGAGAGAAAAATGGAGGTGAGAAGAGAGGAGGAAGAATAAAGGAGAGAAAGAGGAATATAGAAAAATGAGATTAGAATATAGGAAACTATGCGAACAGAAAAGGAAGGAAGAAACAGATAGATGGGAGAAAGAGGCAGAACAGGTAAAGAAAGAGAGTGAGGTATGGAAAATAGTCAATAGAGGAAGAAAGAGAAGAATAGGTATAAACGAGGAAATAGAAGAAGAGGATTGGAAAGAACACTTTATGAGGCTACTAGGAGGAGTAGACAACAGAATAACGGAGGGGGAGGGGGGAAAAAGGAAGGATAACGAAGAGGAGATAAGCAAGGAGGAAATTAAAGAGGCGATAAATAGAATTAAAAAAGGGAAAGCAATAGGAATTGATGGAATACCAGGCGAAGCATGGATGTACGCAGGAGAAGAGACGACGGAGTGGGTATGGAGTTATTGCAACAGAGTATGGAAAGGAGAGGGATGGCCGGAGGAATGGAAGGAGGGAGTAATTGTGCCAATAGTAAAAAAAGGAGGAGGAAAAAAGGTAGAGGATTATAGGGGAGTAACAATAATGACGGCGCTATATCACGAGACACGGTAGTGTCTCGCGCCAAGTGTAAGCGTAGCTAGTACACGCGTGCGAGACCGACCGTGTAAGTTTACGCGAGTACACGAGTTGACGGGCCCTCAGATTTTCGGATCTCAACAACGGCTGATCCGACGAAATTGAGACTGCGCTTAATCGATAGCTTGGGTACGATTTGCATAATAAAAGTGTTTTTACTTTTCTCCTACGTGCTCCAGGAGTGGAGGTATTGCAATGCAAAAGTCAAATTTGTTAAATTTTGGATTAAGAAACGTCTTTGTCGTCGTCTTGGTCGTCGTCTTCGTCCCGGTCGTCGTCGTCGTCGTCGTCGTCGACCAGACCAGCATTTTCACTTGACTTTTCACTTGGCCACGTTGCAATTGACCACGGTCCCGATTGACCACGTTGCAATTGACCACGGTCCCGATTGACCACGTTGCAATTGACCACGGTCCCGATTGACCACGTTGCAATTGACCACGGTCCCGATTGACCACGTTGCAATTGACCACGGTCCCGATTGACCACGCTGTAATTGACCACGGTCCCGATTGACCACGTTGCAATTGACCACGGTCCCGATTGACCACGTTACAATTAA